TGAAGAACGAAGGCAGGTTCTTGTCAGAACATTCTGTGAATTGCTCTGCTGTTCCAAAAGCAGACTTCGATTTTTGGCAAATGTTGGCTTCCTCGTCATGATCTGTCCACGGTTGAAACACCTGCAGCTGGCAGCTTTCTGCTCTTATCTTCATGCGTCAAAGGTGTATTCCGGACAGCAAGAGCAAATGGGCATGGTATTTTCAGTCAGAGGACCCTGAAGAGCAGAGAGTTAACCGAGAGGTGTTTGAGCAGAGAGAGTAGGTTTAAGACTTTAAACATTCGAACATTTTGAGTTGTTTTGCACTTGGAACAAAGTTTGCAAATTGTACTGCACAAAATGCACCTGAGGAATGTGGTCCGGGCAGCTAAATGATAAGCACACTCACCTTAAGTTGTTTTAAATCCTGATGTTCGAGGCTAGGGTTTGGGGTTTTCTCTTTTCTCCAGTGGCTTAGTTGACGTGCATTTACCTGCAAGGCTCACATTTACTCTGAGAAAATAATTTGATTGCTGTATGTACATTAATCTACTATGCATCATAAGAAGCCTTTTGTTTTGGTCACAGTACTAGAGTGATCTTACTTGGCCCAGTGAAATAGAAAGTTGACTAGTTACAAATTCATCAGAAAATAAATAATTCAAAGTGGAGTTTTGGGCGATGTAGGTTCTTCCGATATGCGTCTCTTGTTTATTACAAGAGACATACACCTTTGACAAGCCACAGAGCTGCATTATTTAGCAGATACTTGTATTGTTCTTAAGATGATCTATGAGATTCCCACAAAGCAGCTGTTCTGTGGAAATTTCATTTTCTTCCACCTACCTTACCACTGTTAACAAGTGTCAGATACTGAAAATGAGGTAATAAATTCCACTCAAAGTTTTACATTAACATTGTGTTGGTTTATCTTTGGGGGTCCATAAAATCTTTCCCCGTTTGAAATCATGGCTGAGAAACTATAATGTTGGTGGTCAGCATTGGACAAGTTTTATGCACGTAAAAAACCCGCATAGATCAAAGTCTTAGTTTCAGGTCATAGTCAGGGTTATTTCTGGGTGGTATTCACCCCTTCCAGACTGAATACCGCTTGAAAATCATTCCGGAAGGATTAATTTACGGGCGTCAATTTCATTACCTGGTCCCTACGAACAAAATACCGGTTTCAAAATGGCTGCACATGTTCCTGTATAATATTAATTCGACAGTGTAAAAGCTAGCAATGATTGTAAAGGTAGTTAGATCTCGAGCTGCCAATAACCGTCTTATTAAAGTGATACAATGTAGTGCCATTTGTTAACGCTCCCGGAAATTTACAGCTCTTACCATTGGGAATTGCATCAATTCCGGTTCCGATTCCATTCATTCAGTTCAAAAACTTCCTCGCACAAAAAGAAGGCTTGATTCAAATCTGTGAATGAGTCTACATTTCGTTCCAGGAGCATGATTTCAATAATTGAAAGAGTAGAAATTACCAGGAAGCTAGCAGCCATATTGTAGTGACAGCGATATTTGGTCCGCGGTAGATGTCGCAGAAAGCGCTCTTTGATTGGCTCAAGAGGGGGTGTGACGGGGTGGGGAACCCGCAGAATGTAAACATCGCGGAAAATACCCTTTTTAAATTTTTCAAGCAATGAAGACATTCTTGGTAGTCTCAACACTTCTAGACTGCTTTTACATCGAGTTACACGAAGGGCACCCAACGACAATTTTCGGAAAAATATCTGTTCGGAAGACGATTTGAGGTCTAGAATTTTCGGAACATTTGTTGTAAAATTTCTTGCTTGCCAGCCTCTTAGGATTTTCGAACATCTAAAAAATGGTAAAATTGCTCATTTTCAACGGATTTTTACCCTAAAAAGGTCACCTAGAATTTTCGGGAGGCTTTTTTCTGGCTGAAATTTTTAAACAGGTAAGTTTTGATCCCTAAAATTTTCGGATCACTAGACTTTCAGCTAGGAAATCCGAACAGATGGAAAATTTATAGGGGATAAAAATATGCCTATATCCACCGTTTAAATACTAAAACACGTTTAACAATGCTATGTTTAAGTGGTTTTGAACTATATTCTCGTTGGGTGCCCCTGTTACACAGAAATTTTTTCACTTTCTACGAGTTTACCGTTACAATAAACGGTACCTTTTTCATGATCACCAACAACAATGTATTTTATTTAAGATCCATAAGCTTACAATATTTTATGCCCTGCAAGTAGCCATAGTGCTAATCTAGGCAGAACAAACCTTATAAATAAAGGCGTTATTAAATGACATATTAAGAAAAAAGGAAAAGCAAAAAAGAAAAACCCCTCACACAAACTCAAGCATAGGGGTTTTGTTATTAGAAAAAATAGACTAAAATTACAATGGTTCATTTTCTAGGTTGTAGAGAAATAGAGAAACACTCCTTGGCAGATAATCGCGTTTTATAGTGATGTTTTGTGCTGAGTTTCGCAAACTTATTGAGGGGACTTTTGGAGCTGTCTTAGCGTGGACGTCA